GTATAACATAAATTTGCAGTGAACCCAGTCAGAATTATTGTATGATTTTCTTAAACTTTTTCAGAAGCACTTATGTAGGAATGAAGGCAGCAAATAGTAGGAATGATCCAAGGCTGAGAAGCTTGGCTGGGTGTAATTGATGATATGGCAAGGGGGCTAGGAATTGAAGAGAGAACAGTGTAGAGTTGAATTGGTTCAACAAGGGGCCAAGAGAGGAAAAAAGAGGAGAGAAACTAGTACAGCACAGGTGGTCTGGGTGAGAATTGAGGGGTCAAGGGATCGGAAGTTACATTTAGATGAAGAGTATGGTTTCACAAGGGGATGTGGAAGGGTGGGAAGTCAACAGATCATGGTTAGATAAGGGGATTTTGGAATTCTTGAACATAGAGGAGGGATATCTGTGAGCGATGGTAAGATGAAGAGTATGGCCATCATTGCGTATGGCTAAACTAGGGTGGAGGAATAGGTCATGGGAGGTGTGTGGGCTGAATGAGTGGTTAAGGTCTTTAAGGGAGAGTCATTATTTATGCTGGGGTACCCTAGTGAGAGTTGGAGAGGAAAGAAAAATTGTGTCATATATGATGAACTCATTGAAGGGATGGGAGTGACCTGCAGGCCTGTAGACAACAGATACCAGGATTTCATTTGGGTGGTAGAGATGAATAGCATGAATATCAAAAGAGGAGAGGTTATTAAATGACGGAGTTAGAGAAATAACCTGGAAGTGGCAAAGTAGAACAAGAAGTATTCTCTCTGCCTTGACCACTGAGCTGAGTGGAATGAGTGAAGGTGCTGCGTCATCAAGGAGGAGCCATGTTGCAATAACAATTAGAAATTAGAAGTAGGAGAAGAAAATATTTAGGATGAAGGGAAGTTTGTTCTCCATGGAACAGGCATTCTAGAGAGCCCAGTAGGACAGGGTGCTGTTTGATTGGACCTTGGGTTGGCAGGGTTCAGGGGGATAGAAATAAGGAACTGGGTTGTGAGGAATGTGTAGTAGGTTTTAGACGGTGACCTACTGGGGGTTCAGAATCACTGAGGTGTGTAGACTATGACCAGGTGTGAAAATGTTCATCCCTGAGTCGAAGATACCACTCCTCTTCCCAAAGCAGTCTGGAATTTGGATTGGAGAAAGGTAGTAGTAAATGGAAGGAATGTGGTCAGATTGTCAGAGGGGAAGTCCCATTTCACTATTCCTCTTCCCCGCAAATGCTGGAGATTTGGTAGGAGATTGTCAAGCGATAGAAGTCAAATATGCATAGCAGAAGTCTCTTTCCTCACCAAATTTTTTCTTCCTTTTTCTTCAAGGAAATGGGGTAGTAGGAGTTGAAATGCCCAAGGTCAAAGAGAAGGTTGCTTCTCTTTGCACCAGAGGTTCTCCAAGTCAAAGTTGGGGGGTCATGTTGACAGCAGGAAGGGGGAGTTGCCTGGTGCTGGTAACAGAAGGAAGTCGGCCTGGCCTAGATACTTCCCCCAGAGGACACTCACAGCAGGCAATGGAAATCATGTAGTCAGAGAAGGGTCTTGCTTTTCATCTCACCTGAGGCTATATGCCAGGAAGTACCAGTGGAAGTCATACTCCTGGCTCAGGGAGAAGTCTGATCATAATCTAGTGTCCTTCCACCTCACCTTCTGCCTTGCAACCCTAAACTCAGTATCACACCATGACATCCCATCCCTCAACCCTTCAGTTCTTTCCCAGACCATCAATAGTTACACTCTCCTCCCTTCCCCAAACTGATCCCTTGATGAACTAGGCCGATTCTACACTCTTCTTCTTGAGTCTCTTATTCTCAAGTATTAAGAGTATTGTTGATCTTGCCTTTCCAACCCTCAAGTTTTGATCATTATCTGTGCTCCAATTAATTTTAATTAGATTTTAATACTTTGTTTTTATATCACCTAAATTGACTCTAATATCTTTACTTCTATCACACTTCAGAAAGATATACCTTTAACAAATAATCTTTAAAACAAATATAAAGAGAAAAAAATCAGCAAAACTAATCAATACATTAAAAAAGTATGATATAATTAGCAGTGACCACTCATGGACCTCTCATATCTGCAAAGGACGGGAGGATGAGGGAACTGTCTTTTCTTTGGGATTAAGCCTGTTCTTTGTAAATCTGCAGGTAAGCTGTTATCCTCTGAACACCTCATGACTTTGCTGTTTCCTATTGTGAAATGCTTGTCGTGCCTACTCTTCTGCTAAATTCTTGTATCTTCTTTAAAGTCCAAATCAAATGTCACCTCTCTTCAGTAAGCCTCCCCTTTTTCTTCACATAGGGCTTTGGTTGTACTCTTCTTGTTTTTATTATTTTTTATTATATTTATTTGTGTTTGTGACATATCCTCAAGTCACAAAATGAAGTTTACTTTGTGAAAACAGCAGATAGGCAACAAGGCTATCTATGGAAAGGAAGGGCCAAGTCCTACAAAAGAATGAAAATATAAAAAAGCATGTAAATGCCAAGTACTGTTAAATGCTGGGGATACAAAGAGCAAAGCAAGACAGGAGGCTCATATTCTAACTGAGGGAAAGAACACACCATGAAGGTTCAGCTGCAAAGCAAATGACAAGACCCAGTGGTTCTTAGAATAGATAAGCAGAATACATGGTAATGCTTAGAGGTTTGAAGGATGTAGTAGCCAGGGGACCAGCTTTCTAAAAGAATTGTAGTTGGTGACTACTGGCTCATTAAAGTGACCTGGTCCCAAAACTTTTAGGAAGGGGGATCGAGTTCAAGCCTTATAGTTCAGAGCCTAGACTCTGGACTCCCCGCAGTGGTTAAAAATGATGCTGGATCAATGTCTCTCTGCGAATATAAATGGAAAGGACACCGTGGCAAGAAGGTTGGGGATAAGGGTTGGTCCTGGTGGAATTAGGCAAGAGGCACAGGAGAGTTACGGAAAAGGAAAGAGGTTGAATCTTGTACTTTCTATACTGTTTATTTTCTCTCAGGTATAGCATGATCCTGCACAGAGTAGATACCAAAAATTGTTAAACTGGAACAGCTAGGTGGGGCAGTGGATAGAGCACTGGTCTTAGAGTCAGGAGGATCTGAGTTTAAATCCAGTCTCAGACACATAACACTTACTAGCTGTGTGACTCTGGGCAAGTCACTTAGCCCCAATTGCCTAACCCCCCTCCAAAAAAATTGTTAAACTGAACTGAGTATAAAGTGATATAATGTATTCTTAATACACTTTGGTTATTGTAGTTATGACTAGAACATAGAAAAAGACTATTAAAATGCTTGCTTTCATTCAACTTTGTTTTGTTTCCAGGTCTGTGATTTTATCAATAAAGCAAGATTCTCCCTAACCAAGAGAATTTAAACCAAGGTTCCAACTTATGAGAATGACTGGGTGGGTGTATGGTGGGGTGGCTAATGGGAAAAGTTAAAATTGGAATGGGTGAACCACAGTTGTGTTTTAACTTTCTCTAAATACTCATATTAGTCAAGTAATACTTTATGTTACTTTGCCCCTTTCTAGGGTTTAGTTTCTTCATCTGTAAAATGTAAACGATACACTTCAAGATCCTGTCACACCTTATAATTTATAATCTTATCATCATTTAGTACAAGAATGATAGAAAAGAATGAGACACTAGGAAACACAATGTGCAAAATGGAACTGCACAACACTCTGAAATTTGAAACAGAATTCTTTCTTGAATTATTTTATTTGAAAAGTACATAAAGTTGTACATAAAACTAGAACTATTTAAAAATTTCAAAAGCTTCATTTAAAATGCTTAAACCAGAAACTTTAACGCAAAATGACACTGTCATTTCCCGTGTTTTGTTCAATGTGATGTGTACCAAAATCTTTTTCCAGTGGCAAATGGGTAATTGTCTCATGGAAATTTTGTTCACAGTTAGAATCATTTACTAACCAATTATGGTTCTTTTCACTCTTATATTGTCAAAACTAATTCACTTGAAGTTGACTATAACAATATGAACACAGATAAATACAAAGAATTTTAATTTCACATGACTGATTACACTTTAAACTCATCCTTACCCTAGCACAATGTTTCTCATGGAAGTGTTTAGCCAAAACAAAACAAAAAAACAATAAAAAAGTGATTTGAGAGAAATGGCCCAGACTCAACCAATAGTTACTGGTGTTAATTATTGTAAAGATAATCCAACAAATTATTAGAGACAACATTTTAAGTATAAACAAAAGCATACATTTATTGATAATTCTTCCAAGTTCACACAGTATAAACCTATGTTGTTATTATTGCTGTAATAAACTCTATTGTGAAATGTTGGCTTATTGGAGCTTTTTTTCTTTTAGATTTAAAACTTGCCCAAAACATTTTATTACAGTACTAAACAGAAGGAATGTATGAATACAATGGAGGTATATGTACATTTCTATAAGACATAGGAAAAAAAGTTAAAATTGTGCCAACTCATACATGCTACAAGTTATTCCTTGACTAACACTAAAAAATCAACTACCATACAATTTCGGCCTTTTAGTCACACTGCATTATAGCTTTTAAAAATGTGGTCTGAAAAGAAAACCACTCATCTCACAAAAGATACTTTAAATTTCCACCCATGCAAACACAAAAGAAATCTAGAACCTTTTAAAGTTACTTGTGAAAGGAGACGCCACCCATATTGAAACCCATCTATTGGCAGACAGATTTCTCTCAAATATGATAAATTTCTTTTAAATGAATGGTTTTCTCCACTTGCAAATTCTAAGTTTACAAGATTCAATTTTTTTTTTTGGTGAGGAAATTGGGTTTAAGTGACTTGCCCAGGATTACACAGCTACTGTTAGTTTGGATTTGAACTCAGGGCCTCCTAACCCCAGGGCCAGTGCTCTATCCACTGTACCACCTAGCTGCCCCTAAGATTCAATTACAAATTACAAAACTGATTTAAATTATGGAGTAGAGCTATAGCAAAAGACAGACAATAGGATGACCATGGTCAATAGGCATGACCCTATTGTCTGCTCTTGTTAAAAAAAAAAGCCTTAAAAAGAACATACAAATGAAAAATTTCTTTAAAATTTTGAATGCTGGTTCCTGGCTAATTCCCCCAGGGTTAGGTCTAGTGTTTTATTTAAGCTGGGAAAAAAAAACCTCTCCAGGAAGGGATGATCAACCTTATATATTATCCAAACATTATACCTAAAGGTGATTTCTAGTGTTCAGATAGCTCTTTAGTAGAAGACAAAGATCAAATCTTGAAGTTACTGTTTCATAATAAATTTCCTACACTAATTTTATTATTAGTCCTAAACTTCTAGCAGTCAAAAGAAATATGAACACAGGGAACATAAGAAAATAGCACTGGGTATTAGAAATATAACAAAAAACTAATTCCTTCAATATATTTAAACAATATTAAGGACACATAGAAAAAAGGCAGTATTAAAAGCAAAGTAGAAAGGTATCACAGTGATATACTTTTTTAAAAAACAGTACCTTCACTCCCTCCCACCCCCCAAGCACCTTTTATGTGATAGTTCATGGGCACAAAATACTTGATAAATGAGTTTACTGTAAAGGCACAGATGAAAATTTCTCTTAGCTCTAACAGAGTATGGTAAAAACCATACATATAAAAAAATTAAAGTTAAACATTATAACCATTTAGTTATACACAGGATACAGTACTTAATTCTAGGTTCAGAACAACATTTATTTATATGTAGTATTTACAACCAAACCACTCAATTTATCAAGAACGAAGTTCTTATGAAAATCTATGGGAAAAAAAAGTGTTGGAGTTAACAAAAAGCAGATCTTATTTGCTAAAGAACTGAAGTCCTAGCACAGTCATTAAAATCTTAAGAAAAAGAGCAGCAGAGACACTTTTTCTAATAAAATTAGTTTTCTTGTTTCTAACATACTAGTGTTAAAAATTTTTTTTTCTTAAGTTTGCTAAAAATGATTAATTTTCACAAAACTAAGTAGGAAAATTTCCCAAACCTCAACTTCTCTACTAGTATCACACAAAGCTACTTCTGCAAGACAGTAACATACAAGCTATAAAGTATTAATTTACAATATTAGTGGAGGAAAAGATTCATCTTTTCAAAAGTAAACTTTCTGGAGGTTTTTTAAAAAAGTCTCTACCAGGAATTTGATTCAAGAAGGAAAATATGGGTGCACATATTTCTGGGGGAAAAATGTGCCAGAAAAAAACAAACTCTTATGTAGGTCTGATAGGCTTATTCTATAATTGTATTACAAAACAAATCACATTAGTAATTATTTTATTCACATAAACATAGCCTGAATGAAGCAGGCAGCCAAATGAAAAGGGTGCAGGTACAACCCCATCTAATCAGTCTGGGCTAGCTACTTCAAATATTAAAACCACATATGGCAACAAACCATGTTCCTTAACACACTGCATCCCCTAATTTGCAGTCCTGATCGTTGTGGGTAAAATGTTCGTTGCTGGCCAAACGAGGTAGACTAGATAATAGTGTGGATGGCTTTTCATAAAAACCAATGCCATATATCTGACTTCTTTAAAAAGAACAGTGCACTAGTAGAGTCTGCCAGCTGCTCCTTTATTGCTAAATATAGCCAGAAAGCAAAAACACAATTAACTACTCTCTTGTAGTATTTCCATGTGTTAAAACATTTAAAGAAATCATTTCACCAAATTAATTAGATGACAGAGCTCAGCTAGCTCACCTAGTCATTGCTGGTATTCTTTCAGTAAGATGTTCAAGACACACCCTTCACTTAAACTGATTCCAAAAACAGTAATTTTACAATTTCAAATTAGTTATTTTTGACATTCTCTTCAAATTTTTGTAGGGCTTATATAGCTTGTTACAGAAAATGGCTGAGAAAACAGAAACAGCAAATCTTGTTTTTCTTGGTATACATATAGAATAGTAGACATTAAATATCAGTGAAATCAGTTGTTTCTAAAGGAACCTAAGAAAATACTCTTTCATTTGGATATTTAATTCTACCCCCTCCTCTACCATAAGATTTTATCTGATCTCTTTGTGATAACAATAGTTAGTATTTATGTAATACTTTAAAATTCACAAAGCACTCTACATATGTAGCATTTGTTCCTCACAACAACTCTGTGAAACAGATGAGGAAATAAGCTAAAAAAAAGTTGCATGACTTGTCGTTTTTAAGTGTCTGATGTAGGATTCAAACTTTTGTCAATTAAATAATGTTTCCTGAAGATTATCTTTTTATTAGTCCAGTTTAAATTATTCTATTTCTTCAAAAGCAATTTCTAGGTTGGCAGCTTTTTCCTATTATCAGAGAAGAAAAAAGTCTGAAGAAACAAAGTTTGAGATGCTTTATACTATTGACCCATCTTTGCTTTGCGCTGGTATCATCACAGGAATAGCTCCCATTCTACTTAGATTAGATGCTGCCACTTTAGTCGGTTGGAAACTCGGGCTCTGTGGAGTACGATCAAAGTCTTCACCTGGTACTTGGTTATACTGAGCTTTGGAATAGCCTTCTATGTTGGAAGGAGACATCGATCCCAGAGATGAATGATTGCTACCAACGTAGCTTCTGGCTGTAGATGTACGGCTCTTTGGAGGAGGAACATCCTCTCTAGAAATGAAAGCCCAGGTATAAACATTTTAAAATTAAGCTTATAATTATGAAAACTTCAATCTATGTTTTAAGACGTATTATAATAGCGTGTACCATATGGGGGGAAAAAAGTAGGAAATGCACGAATTATATTTCTATTTACAAACTTATGCTCTAATCTGCTTCAGAAATTAAATTATGCATTTAATTAGTTGAGGAAGCAAAGAGTAAATGCACAACTAAGATCTTGTGTCTAAGGATGTTTGAACTTTGTAAGTCATACACTCAAACCAGCAAACCATGCTCAAAAAGAGGTTTTAATCTGATAAAATTAAAAGATCTTAGTTAAATAAGTTGCTATGCAAATACAGTATAAATGCAATAACATACTAACTCTACTGAACCCTAGATCAGGAACACCTTTTCAGGTCATACAAAAATGATATCACTATACATTCAGTGCTTCCGAGAAAGAATTATACACCTATACTAATTCACTAACCTCCCTGTCTACACACAATTACAAAAATTAATTGTAGAAGACATGTTTTTGAAAGCTTACTGGCAGTGTAGTATGGTGAAAAAAGCACTAGATTTGGAGCCAGAAGACATAAGTTCAAATTCTGACTGCCACTTGCTCAATGTGAGGTAGGCCTCACTTAAACAAAGAAAGAAACAGCAGAAGAAAGGACAAATTCTCACCTGGGGGATAACTAGACCTAATGACTAGTAAAAACTCTTTTAGCTATATGATGCTGTGATCATATATCAGAACTGTTTTGAAATAACAGACTGAAATGGTAAATCCTATTTATGGTATATTTTGCTACCATTTAGGAATGTACAGGGATAGGTCAAAGTCAGTCAGTACTAGCATGAGAAAATAGTATGCAATCCTCAGGGAAGAAGATCAGAAGACCTGTGTTCAAATATTTTCTTTTAGGGGCAGTTAGGTGGCTGTATGTCCCTGAGCAAGTCACTTAACCCCAACTGCCTCACCCAAAAAATAAAGTTAGAAGGAAAAAAAATATTTTCTTTTACTAAATAGCTATGTGTGACCTTAGCCTATTCACTCACCCACTCTAATCTATAGTTTTCTGGAGCAGTAAAATGAGGGTATTAGGTTAGATAATCCTTTAAGCTCTAATTCTAAATTCTCTGATGCTAATTTGAAGCAAAGACCCTCAGTGATCAAATTTTTACTAATATTTAGCTAAAGTAAATGAATTATTGATTAAAACGTTGGCATTCACTATTTAAGATTTTAGCATTGTAGAGGCAGCTAGGTGGCACAGTGAATAGGAGCACCGGCCCTGGAGTCAGGAGGACCTGAGTTCAAATCTGAACTCAGACGCATAACACTCACTAGCTGTGTGACCGTGGGCAAGTCACTTAACCCCAACTGCCTCACCAAAAAAACAAAACCAAGATTTCAGCATTGTAGTTAATTGCACCTCTTATGGAAGCTTTTTTAATAGAATTCTTTATTTGAGGAAAGCTTGTTTCCAAAGGTTACCTGATATCATGATGAACTTCTTTTTCATATTTTTCCTCCTTGTGTTTTTTACAGCAGCAAAAGATTAGAAGACCCAACAGCAACAGGGCACACAAAGTTCCTATGACAGCTCCAGCAATTGTACCAGCAGTGTTTGAAGCTACAATAATTAAGAACACCTTTTACAAAGACTTTGGACTGAAATGACTACAAATAGCAATTTAACTTCCCTTCCTATCCAAGAGGTTAACTGGCATAATTTCTCTATACACATATTTTTCCATTTAAAATAATTAATTGCATAATTCTAATAGTGGAGCACAAGTTAATTTGGTGCCCTCCCCACCAAAAAAAAATCAGCATAATGAATGATAAGAACAATGTATTAATAAAATATTCTCTTTAAGCTGGGAAGGTAAAATGCCATCTGATAAAACTCTCTGATCTCTAACACACATGAAACCAAAAAATAATCTTTTTTCCTACCCTCTTCATACCACCCCAAAATCTGCCCCATTAACAAATCAAATTGATTAAGGGGCACACCAAGAAATGCTTTAAAATCAAAGGTGGAGGTGAGACTTTCTTTCTCCCACCCCCATAAATATAAAGAATATACTTACGAGGAACAACATTCACCCTCAAAAGGCATTGATCAACACCAACTCTGTTTTTAACTGTACAGCTGTATGTGCCAGAGTACTCTGTAGTGGCATTTCGTATAGAAATAACAGATGGGTCGAGATCTATGGGTAGAAAAACAGATTATTTCCTTAACTATTTTTGAAATATATCTTTATTACTTGGAAAAGGAGGCTGTATATCCAGCTGCAGAAAAGTTTAAAAAAGAGAGATCTTTAAGGTAAACAAAATACAGAAGAACCCCAGGATAAGTACACTCTATCTAGACAAAAAGTGTTGGGAAAACTGTAAAGCAGTCTGGCAGAAACATTACCAAATAACACACTACATTAACAACAGAAACTACCAACTAACACCCTACATTAGAATAAGCTCCAAATAGTCATGACCTAAATATAAAAGGCCATCTAATTTTTTTAAAAATTAGCGGAGAATGGAAAGAAAACTTTCACATCTATGAACAGTAGAGAATTCTTGATTTAAAGGGGCATAAAAAAATCATGAAAGATAAAAAAGACAAGTTTTATTACAAAAGTTGAAAAGTTTGTGCACAAGCAAAATCAATACACTCAGTAGGAAGGAGATCATTAAGTGGGGAAAAAGTATTTGTAACAGATTTTTCTGATAAGAAGTAACAATATCATAAATGTGAAGCTGTAGGCAAAAGAAACTAAAGTCCAAGGAAGTTAAATTGCTCGCCAAAAGCCACAGGTGGCGAGGGAGACACTTTCTGCTGTGCCACTCTACCTTCTCATCTGATATTCAAAATACAGTTATTCCTTTCACATCGCAACTTTCCCCATCATGGTTTCACTATATTGTGAGTCAGTATATGAAAATAAATGGGGATTTGGAGGAAGGTGTGCCAAAGCTGCAGATGACACAGAAAACGTTTAGAAATGCATAAAATACATGTACAGTATTATATAATATCAACATATTTTATCATGTAATACCATAATAATTCAGACTTCTCTGGTATGAAGAAAAGGCCAATAAAGGAAATTGATACAAATATTTAAGAATAAGGAACAATTTCCCCAAGATAAATGGTCAAAGGATACAAAATGTCATTTTTCCAATGAGAAATACAAGCTATCAACAATCATACTGAGGTTGATTGCTTATCTCCCACGTCACTAGTTCAGCAAAACCTTAAGAAAGGGGGCCCACTAGTAAAGAAACTACTGATATAGGGTAACCTTTAAGTCCAAAAAGACCAAAGACAGGTGTAGATTGCAAGGCCTTGTCCAAGCAGGAGACTTCCTTGAGAAAGTCCCAAGGTGGTCTGAAAGCCCTGGTGCAGGGACCTTGCAATCGCAGCAAACACTTACAAGTGAGGAGTTGTAGTTCTCAAAACAGGATCTCTGAGGTGAAGAACTGTAACATAACAAGAGCTCTGTCTTAAGGAACCAGTGAGGGGTCTCAAGATGCAATGGCCTAACCTCACAGATCCAGGGAGGTAACTCCAGGAGGGGTCAACAGAAGAACCCAAGAAACCAGTGCAAAATATCACCCAACCAAAAACCAAAATTTTCAGTCAGTCTGTCTCTCTCTTTTCATCTATCTACCTCCCAAAAGGAGGAACTAACTCCATAACATCTTCTAACAGTGATTCAAAGGAGGAAAAAAAAAAAACAAAAAAGACTTTCCACTAAATGCATTACTATCAGACTACATGAATTACTACAAGAAAAACAAAAGATTAAAAATGAAATAAAATAAAGAACTAAAACAGGAGTAAAGTAAAAATTTCATCAAGATGAAAAAAGGTAGGGGCAGCTCTCTTCTGTCTCTATATTACCTCACCTGGAGATTTAATTTGCTCTCATGTATTTAATAATCATCTCTGTGCTGATGATTTTCAAATCTACCTACCCTCCTCTAATCTCTCTGCAGACTTCCAAAAATTTTTCGTTCATCTTGAACTGGATTGTCCAGTAGACATAAAATTTTAAACTCAATATATGAAAAATTTATCTCATTTTCTTTCCCCTAAACATGCTCCCTTCCTAACCTTATTAGTACAGTTGAATTCAATGCCATCCTCCCAATCCCCCAGGCCTGCAATTCAGGTTCAAGGCATCTTGATCTTTGCAGTATCTTTCAAATATGTATTCTTCTCTGATACTGCCACCCCCTGGTGCAGGTCCTCATGCCTGGATTCAATAGTTTGCTAATGGGTCTGCCTGCCTCAAGTCTCCCTACTACAATGAATGCTTGTTGAGTGACTGACCATTAAATATCCCAAGGAGCATGAACAGATAGTTCTCATAAGAAGAATGACAAACTATTAGCAAGGCTGGGAATGATGGTCCATGCCTGTGAGCCCTACTATCACGAAGGCTGAGGCTAGTACATCAAGTCTTGGGGATCTCTTGATCTCAAGAGTCTGAGGTATAGTAGACTAAGCCAATTAGGTGTCCACACTAAGTCCAGCAAACAACGATAAGCTGCTACGAATGGGGCTGGGTTGGGGTGGGGGAGAGGGGCTCATGAGGCTAGAGAGAGACAAATGGTTAGAAACAACATATCCAGACTTCCATGGTGAAAAGTAATGGTGATTGAGCCCATGGCTGGTCACTGCCCTTCCATGATAAATGAGATAGGGATGAGATAGGGAGATCTACTCTTGGAAAAAAAACAACACAAAAATAAATTAACAACCATATAAAAAACTGCTATATCACTAATAATAGTAAGACTGAAAACCAAAATAAATCTCATATTTTATCTCATACCTATTAAATTGTCAAAGATGACCATAGTCAATGGTGGAAAGAAGAGAAGCACACTAATATGCTGTTGGTGAAGTTGCGGACTGATCCAACCATTTTGAAAACAATTTGGATTAAATTTAAAAAAAAAAAGAGGAACAAAAGTGGCCATACACTCACTGTCTAAGAGACTATGAGTGTTAGGTATATATCATCAAAGAGGTGGAGAAGTAGGATAAAGTGCTGGGCCTGGAATTAGGATGACTGGAGTTCAAATCTAGCCTCAGACATTTGCTAGCTGGGCAAGTCATTTGACCTCTGTCAGCCTCAGTTTCCTCATCTATAAAATGAGATAATTATAGCACCTACTCCCCAGGGTTATGAGGATAAAAATGAGATAATAAAGCACTTTGTAAACTTTAAAAGTGCTTGCTAGATGTTGCTGTTATTATTATGGTTGTTGTTTTGACAGAAAGATCCCATATGTATCAAAATATGTATACTAAAACCTTTTATGGTAGCAAAGAATTAGAAATAAAGTAGATGTTCATTGATTGGGGAATGGTTAAACAAATGGTGGGTTGCTGTTCAGTTGTTTTCAGCGGTGTTCAACCCCAATCGGAGTTTTCTTGGCAGAGAGACCAGAGTCCTTTGCCATTTCCTTCTCCAGCTCATTTTACAAATGAGAAAACTGAGGCAAACAGTGTTAAGTGACTTGGCCAGGGTCACACAGCTAGTAAATGTCTGAGGCCAGATTTGAACTCAGGAAGATGAGTCTTCCTGACTCCAGGCCCAGCTCTCTATCCACTGTGCCACCTAGCTGCCCCAATAACAAATTGTGATACATGAATGTAATTCAGTATTACTAAGCCATAAGAAATGGTGAGTATGGAATTCAGAGAAACATGGGAGACTTACATGAAAGATACAAAGTGAAGTCAGCAGAACCAGGAAAATAATACACAATTACTTTAAGTCATGCAAATGCAAAGAAAAAAGAAAGTTTTACATTGTAGTAATATCCAAGCTTGACTTGATGATGGGAGAATGTATCTTTCTTCTTTGCACAGGCTAGAGAGTCTACTTTGCATAGGTTTATACTGTCACAGACCTGGACCATTCCTTCTCTCTTACCCCCTTTCTTTTTAACTCTTTGTTATATGGCAATGGCTGTGTGGGTAGGGAATTATTGAGGGATATAAAGAGAAGGAAAGGTGATATAAAAAGAAAAGACACCAATAACATTTTAAAAGAACAGTTTTCTTCCTGTTACCTTGCCTGTGAAAGAAGCATAAATCCTTTTGAGGTTTTTTTTCTCAAGTGCAGGAGGAGGGGGCTGGGTTCGGCCGCTTGCAGCCTGTGCTCAGTGTAAACACAAACACTCCCTCTTCTCTTCCTCTCTCCCTCCCTCCCTCCCTCCCTCCCTCTCTCTTTCTTCTCCTCTTCTCTCCTTCTCACCCTATTCTCCCTCTCTCCCCTGCAGCTCCAACTAAATGTGACTGCCCTTAACCAAGCAGCGCCTTATGGGACAAGGAACCGAAGTTGAAAGGGCCCTGCCACTGCCACCTAGCATGAGAATCTGGGCATGATGGCTCCTATGTCTGTTTCTATGTGTGTGTGTGAGTGAGTGTGTGTTCAAAGTCTCCCTAAATTTTGCAATTTTCCCCTTTGATCTAAGGAAGAACAGTTGAGTTTGCTAGCTTCTCAAATCCTTTACTTGACCTTTCTTTTCCTACTATCTATTGTCAAGTCAACAAGCATTTATGAAGTGCTCAATATTTTCAGACAATATAGTAAGAAGAGGGGATATAGAGAAAAGTATAAACAAGCCTTGCCCTCAAGGAGTTTTCCTATTCTTTGATTTCCTGTCAATAAAAGTCCACCAACTAAGAGTCTAAAACAACTATCACAATTTTTTCCACTATTTCCTCTTGCAAACTGGGTCCTAGTCCTTCAGTGTCCCCTCGGCCCTTGCCTTTTCCTGTAAGTTACACCATTAAGTCAGAAGTCACAGGCTCAAAGGTTCATAGACTTGGAGGCGAAAGGAATTGTAGAAGTCATCTACCCCAAATCTCCTTTTTTATAGATGAGGAAAGTGAGGCTCAGAGAGATTAATGAACTTTCCCATGGTCACAGAGCTAATAAATGCAAAATTCTAACCCAGGTCTTCTAACTCTAAATTCAGTTTATGACTAATAACTAATCCATGACTAATTACTAAATCTAACAGATATTTTATATCTGTTACATTAATTCTTCTTCACCCTTATAATGCTTTGGACACTAGTCCTTTTTAAAAAATATTTTATGTCATTAAATATTTCCCAATTACATGCAAAAATTTTTACCAATCTTTTTTTTAATTTTGAGTTATAAATTTCCTCCAT